AATGAACCGGCCGGTTTAGACCATATTTTTGAGCTGTTCATTATTTACTGATTCGGTTCGAGTCCAGTTCAGTATTTCAGTCAATTTTTCAGTCCAGTCAGTTCAGTCCGGTTTTTCTTGTCAATCAAGTAAATTCCCGAGAATATCCCAGTTAAATATTTAGATTGAGTCGAGCGTCTTAACAGCTATTTTCAGTCAGTCTGAGCATAGTACTTAGTATTTGTTTATTTATATATATTTTTACAGATTGATCACCAGCAGCACTTACATATTCAGACTATCAGTTAAGGTGGGGACTCAGACTGAGTATTTCATTGAGTATAATTACAGCTATCATGTCGAGGTATGTATATATCAGTTCCGCTTAGAGTGGTGGCCAGTTTGCGTAATTCCACTCCGAGCTCTAGTTGTTAGATCTGACCACTAGGGTGTGCACATGGTTCCGGCTGAGTTTATTACAGTCAGCAGACACGTCCAGTTTATACTGTTGACGAGCAGTTACAGATAACAGCACATATACATGCGTTTGATCGTGATGATGCAATTATTATTACTGTTTTATTCAGTATGAGTTTCTGCGGAGTACAGTGATTTTAGTACTCACGCTCCCACTATTATGATCTTTTCAGGTGACAGGGTCGGTCTGAAGGAGTGAGCGGAGCTGGTGGTCGCCGGTGCAGTACATGTAAATATGTATATGTTTTTGCAGACTAATGACATGTATATATATTTACCACGTTTTACTTCCGCTAACGTTTTCAGACTTTCAAACTAGCGTGTAAATTTTCAGATGACGATCCGAGCCTTCGGGTCAGATTTTATACAGTATCACACGCTTGTTTTATAAAGGATAATCCATTTTTCATAAATGGGTTTAAAATTAATAAAGTTAATGGATTTTTAGAAAATAAATATTTTATGTAGCATCCTGAGAAATGTTTCGCATACTAAAACATAAATTTTAGAAAAAAGTTTGTGAAAATCGCACTCTGATTTCAGTAAGCTAGCCGGGTGTTACAAATTGGTATCATAGCTGTGTATCTGAATATTTTTTTTAGTTAGAAATTCTCAAAAAAGGCCCGACCACGCTACGCTCACGCCTCGCCGACTACAGGCAAGTGCTGAGTTACAGTTTATAGATATTTAAATGAATGCTTGAGTCTATGCTCAGTAAGAGGGTACCAGATATTTGACCCTAGAAACCAGTAAGATGCTCGAGTATTTTCAGAACATAGTCGATTGTCTCAGTTATTTTATAATTCGACCTTAGTATTTTCGGGTTATTTAGCGACTCGTTAAGAAATTTGTGTATCTAAGCAGTCAACCAGTTAATTTCTTATGTTATTCAATCATGTTAAACATTTCAATGTTTAGATGCCTCCTCGTAGAGATCCAGGTCACCAGGAGCTCACACAGGCCACAATAGTCGCACATTTTCGCGACTACCAGCCAGAAAAATTTTCCGGCCAAGGAGATCCTCGCATAGTAGATGAATGGGTTCAGGGCCTCGAGATGATTTTCGAGGTTATGGACTGCCCTGATCGTTATCGCACGTTATGTGCACAGATCCAGCTGACCGGTGATGCCCGACTCTGGTGGAATGCCTATTGGAGTATGCGCCCCGGCGAGAAAGAAGGTTGTACGTGGGACCAATTCAAGGAGCTGATCCGAGAGAAGTATTATCCCTCGTATTACCGAGCAGACATGGAGCGCCAGTTCTTGGCACTCACCCAGGGTACTCGTTCTGTTGACGAGTACGGGAGAGAGTTTACCCGTCTCGGAGCCTTCGTACCCGATCTTGTAGGTACAGAGGCAAAGAGAGCCCACCATTTCACCGACGGACTTCGCCCAGCAGTCCGCCACAACATCGTAGGTCACGATGTCCAGACCTACGCTCGCACAGTTGCCATTGCTCAAGAATTAGATGCCAGTACCCGACTAGAAGCTATCCAGACACCAGCCCAGCCAGTTGCTCAGCCACCAGCTCAGCCAAAGTTGCTCCACCATCGAAGAATCAGAAGAAGAGGAAGTTCAGAACCACTCTTGACGACAGGAGGACCCGTCCCAGACAAATACCAGTTTGTCCAACATGTGGAAAACACCACCGTGGAGAATGCCTTGTGGGCCAGAACATCTGTTTCATTTGTCGCCAGCCAGGCCATATCAGCCCCAACTGTCCAGAACGACTGCAACAACAACCGCAACAACGTCAACCACCGCAGCAACTTCAACAATAGCAGCCCAGGCAGCAGCCACCACGACCCCAGCAACAGCCATGTGGCAGACAACAGGCCCGCGTCTTTGCAATTGACCAGAGAGAGGCCGACCAGCACCCAGGTACCATGTCCGGGATGATTATTCTTAATGATGTGCATGTCTATGCCTTATTTGATACTGGAGCGACCCATTCCTTTATATCACGACGATGTCTCGAAGCTATTGGGGTTCGTTCTACTATCGCTGTCGATCCTCTCGAGGTGAGTTTAGCCTCGGGACGGAAGATAGTGACTGATGCTGAAGCCACCGATCTCAGCCTTTCCATTGGCGGCCGTATTTTGATTACTGATGCTTATGTTATCGAGATGAGGGATTTTGACCTCATACTCAGTATGGATTGGCTAACACGTTTTCACGCAGATATCCGATGTCACGACCGGGAGATTACTCTTTTTCTTCCGGGAGATGATCAGATCACTTA